ATTGTACATTGGCCCTTTTTAAACATTAAGTTCCCAGCCAGTTTGTCTCGGTTTGCTCTCAAGAAGAGAAAAAAAAAATTACCAAAGAGAATAAAGATCTCCCCTTTTCTGTCTTTCTCAGTCCTATCTACCCTCAAAGTCCCTGCTCAAACCCAGCTGGTGCCAGGGGTCTGCATTCCCCAAACCTCGATTATCCACACCCCACCTTCAGTGAATTACCCACTTATTTTATCTTTAAATTGTCACATTTTTTTCTCACATAATTTCATTTTGAAAGTAAACCTTTTCAGTACTGTAATTGGAAAGCCAGTTACTATTTGCTATACCTACAAGATGAAAAACAAAAGCAAAACTAGATTATTCAATTCTAGCCGAACCTACTGCCTGCTATAGACTCTGAGCTGGAGTCCTGGTCTATGTTTTTAAAAAGAGGGAGACTAGCAAGTGTCAGGAAAGCATTAAGAACACAGTAGGATTGGGCCGGGGATTTAGCTCAGTGGTTTCACCGCCTGCTACACAAGCGCAAGGACCCGAGTTTGATCCCCAGTACCAAAAAAAAACCAACACAGTAGGATCAAACCAAGTTTTGAGGGCATCGCAAAGTCTGAAGAGGAACTGAAAGGGAACTGTCTTCCAGATTGGTAATGACGGATTTTATTCACTGTCCTCCAGAACAGTGAACACATCTAGAGATGATGTGTGTGACAAGTAGCAGTGCAATTTTTTTTTTTAGTAGTATACAAAATACTGATATATCCTTTATGATAATGGTGTCTCGGATCAAATGACGAGTAGGTAGTTTCTCATGACTCTGGGTGTTCCTTTAGTGGCAGGGCCCGCCCAGAATGTGGTCCCCACAGCACCTCAGACACTGATTCAATAACAAGAGGCCAGAGGGCCAGGGATAGAGCTCAGTGGTTTGGTTGCCTGCTGAGCAAGCGCAAGGACCCAAATTCGATCCCTGGTACCAAAAAAAAAACCAACAAAAAAAACAAGTGGCCAGAGAATGCAGGAGGTTCCACCAGAGGGAAAGCAGGAGAGTATTTGGTCCTCCTGGATTTCCCAGGGAACCCAAATTTATCACACTGCTGTGGCTGGGTGAGCGTCTAGCTGGTGTGTTCGCCCCCTCTCTCCCTCTCCATCGGGATTATCCTACCAGGGTGGGTTCCACAAACAAGTCTGCCAAGTTTCCTCCTCCCCCACATTGGGAACAATTTTCTGAAAGGTCACGTATTTTCGAGTCACACAAATCGCCCTCGCATGCACTGATGTATAAGTCCGCCCACAACCCCAAATGCCAGGCCCGTGAGCGCAGGGGGCATGAGTCTTTAGGAAGCTGATAAGGGGGCGACTCACACTTGGCTCCTTTAGCCAGAGCCGCTCACACAAGACAGCGAGCACAGGGACTGTCACTCCTCCACTGTGCAAAGGGACTGCACGCAAGAAGTATCAAGAAATCTGGGGAGAAGGAAGGCTGCTCCACAGGGCCTCCTCTGCTTGCCCGCGTGAAGGAGTTTTCCACAGGCCTCCTTTGGTAGGAAGGCTTCGCTGGGGACCCACTGTGTTTAGGCCAGGAGGGGCCCATAGACACCATGTACGTTTATTCCAACACAAGCTCCTCTACACCTTTGTGCCTGGGTCACATCAACAGAGTTCACAAACGTCCCCACACAGACTTGTCCCAAAAGCCTGGCCAGCTTAAGTGGACAAAGCAAGTTCCCAGTGCAGGCCACACCTTGAATATCAAATTATGGTATGAAAAGGCCGAGTGTTTGTGTAGTGAAAGCAACCGAATGCCTGTGAGGCCAAGGCCAAAAGGAAGCTCAGAAAGGGAGGAGAATGCCTCAGGAAGATGGCTCAGGGCAGGGGGAGCAGTTTCTCCTCTCTGAAAAGCCTCCTGCCATCTCCACCCCACTGGATGACCCACTTCTCGGAGGCCAACTCACTCCTGGCCCCCAATCCCTGCCTGGGTTTCCATTAGGGGCTCTCCACTGTCATCAGTCTCTAATACTTGCTGGAAGGGCACTAATGGCTGGGGCAGCCCAGTAGCAGGGCTAAGGGAAAGGGCTTCGGTGATGGCCTAATAGAATTTTTAAATGGATGTTTTTATTTTAGCCAATATATATTTATTTTAATGTGCACTAAAAAAACCACATAGCCAGCACTTGTGACTTCATAGATACAATTATTCAGGAGATCCCTAAGTAAAAAATAAATAAAATAAATAAATAAATCCATATATATATATTGGTTTCATGTTGATTTTCTTTTCCTTTTTTATTTATTTATTTATTTATTTTATTTTCCTTTAAGGGTCTCGCTATGTTGCCCAGGATGGGCAACAAACTCCTGTGCTTAAATGATCCTCCTGCCTCAGCCTCTGGAGTGGTGCGGGCAACAGGTATGCACCACCACTGGGCCTGGCTGATTTTCTTTTTTCCAGGGTACTGGGCATTGATTCCAGGAGTGTGCTACCACTGAGCTACTTCCCCAGCCTGATTTGTTCTGAGACAGAGAATAAACTCTTACTAAGTTGCCCAACTGGTCTCAAAACTTTCCACCCTCTTTGCCTCAGTCTCCCATAGCAGGGATTGCAGATGTGTACCACTGTGTGCAGCTGATTTTCATTTCATACTCAAGTAACAGCCCGGGCAAAAGCAATCTCTTCATTCTCTGTGCCCACAAGGTGCTCATCTTCCAGGCCTGCCCAACCCATAAAAGGCACTGCCATTATTCATATGCAGCCTTGGGCTCTTTCTTGGCTCTTCTCCTTCTGCCACGAACCCCACACCCAATCCAGCTCCTTCAAAATACCATCAGACCCAGATACTTCCCACCACTCCCTGCTAGCTCCTGGCCAAGGCCCTATCCTCCTGCACCTGGACGATTCTAGCAGTCACTCAGCAGGTTCCAGGCTCTTCCATTCTTGCCACTCAAAAGCATGAGGGGGGCCAGGGATTTAGCTCAGTGGTACCACTGGCTGCCTTGAAAGCACAAGGTCCTGGGTTCAATCCCCAGTACCAAAAAAAAGAAAAAGCATGAGGGCTGCTTAGTATGTGTGACAACAACACACCAGGTTCAATCCCCACCACTGCCAAACAAAACAGAAACCAAGAGATCTTTCTCCAATCATAAATCAGATAACATCAGGCCCCTACTCAAAACCACCTAGAAGCTTCTTATCACATTTGGGATAGAATCCAAAGGCCATATTAGCAAGGCCAGCCTGGGAAACTTGGTGAATGTCCCTGCCTTCCCCTGCCTGGCAAATTCCAACTCATCCTTTAAAGCCTCTGCAGAGCTGGGCACAATGGCCCATGCCTGTAATCAGAGCATGGGGGAGGGTGAGACGGATTGCAAATTAAGAGCCTGGCCAGGCCGACTCAGTGACTTAGTATGACTTTGTCACAAAATTTAAAAAGGCAGGGAACGTAGCTTAATCCAAAGGCCCTGATTCAATCCCCAGTACTAGAGAAAAAAAACCAACAACACCTAGGAACAATAAAACCTTCTGTAGTTCTCTACTGCGTCCCCTGGGTGCCCAATGCAGGTCCTCAGGACGCACGAGTGCCTTACACACTGTGGTAGTGCTGTGCTCCTCTGCCCACACCGACTGCAAACACAGTGAGGGCAGACACCACGCTTCATTAATCTTCATATCCCCAGCCCGGTAGAGAGATCAGCAGCCTTCACAGCCACCTGCTGAACACGGGTATCTATGCTACTCTCACCAGACCTGTGTGAAGGGGCCAGGTCACCCTGCCTGGAGTGGACACCCAGACACCTCATGAGAAGGGATGTCTTGCTCAATCTGAGGGAAGGAGGGGCCATGTGTAGACACCCCTCCCACTCCCTTGCCCTGCATCAAGATGCTATGTGTTTAAAGTATTCTTTCTCTATAATAGAGTCTACCACCACCAGGCAGGTGGCACACACTTGCCACTTGGGAGGCAGAGGCAGAAGGATGTCAAGTTCAAGGTCAGCCTGGGCAACTTAGTGAGACCCTGCCTCAATATTTCAAAAAGGGATAGGATGTAGCTCAGTGCAAAGGCCCCGTGTTCCATCTCCAAAATCAAAACAAACAAACAAGTCTACCACCACTCAGCAAACACATTCTAGAGCTAGTAAAGTCCAGCTTCTAATAAAGCCCTCGGGCTTTGCCACACCTAGGAGCAATGGAAGCTGACAGCCATCTTGCTCTGCATCACCCAGGTGGTCACTCTCTCCTCAGTAGGCCAACAAGCCCACACCATCTACCATTTCTTCCCAGCCCCTTTCTCTCTATGCCACAACCAAGCTTGTGTTTCCTGGGTGCATCCTAAAATGGAGACAATGATACAAGGGTTCTGTCCTCCAGGAAGCAGAAGGACAGACCTCTCTACTTCAAGTCTTCGCCAAGCCTGGATAAGCATGCAGCAGTAAAGGGCATCCCTCACCCTCCAATTCCGATGCTTCAAGACCCTCAAAGGCAGAAGGGCCCATGTCTGTCTGTAAGGCAAGGCCTTTGCTGGACCTGGCTACCAACACTACTCCTATCTCACAAATACTGAGTGCCTTGCACAGAAGTGGTAGGTGCTGGGGACACAACAGTAAGCAGGGGATCACAAGTCCCTATCTCTGAGGAGTTCACTTTCTAGTTTAGGAGGCTGAAAAGTCCACAAGCAATCCCCAGTGCTATGACAGGGGAGGAGCCAGAGGACACCCTAGCCCTAGCAGGGTAAAAGAGACCAAGGGATCAACATGGGTGTGTGTCTCTGCACACAAGCACCTTTTGAGGATGTAGGCAGTGTAAGATCAAGATCCGGGCCATCTGGAGCCAATCCTCCCACTCCCCACTCTCACTTCAGGGAAAGGAAACTGAGGCCAAAGGAGACACAGTGAGTTAGAGCCAGGATCAAAACCCAGGTCATCGCCACTTGTCATTCCTTCAGTAAAGCCCAGAGGTTAACGGGGTTTCTGGAATGAGACTATCTGGTTTTAATCCTGCCTCTGCCACTTACCAGCTGTGTGGCCTGGGGCAAATGACCGCCTCTCTGTGCCTCAGTTTCCTCATCTGTAAAATAGGAATAACTATAGTATATATTTCCTGGGGCTGTTATGAAAATTAAATACACAATGTAAACCAGTACCATGCCTGGGACACAGTGCGCCTTATATGAGGTGATGCTGTAATTGTTACAACAAGTGCTCGTGCCCAGGTTGGCGCCACGTTCTCTTCCGGCTCCAGCACGCTCCCATGGCGCAGGACCCCGGCGCCCTGGACCCGCAGCCGGCCGGCCGGCCGGCCGGCGCGCCTCGGGGGGCCGACCCCGCTCCGGTTCTCGCGCGCTCTGCACGCGCCCCAGGCCTTGGGAATGAGGGGAGGACGGTGGTCACACTCCGCCTCGGAAAGGGAGCAGCTACAGCACCCGACAGTCCCCTCCACCCCCGGGCTCCCAGCCCCCAGCCCGGAGAGCGGGTCGGTTCCTCACACTCTGCAGCAGGCTCCTCCTCTGCGCCGCCATCTTGGAGGGACCCCCGCGGCGCGACAGCGTCCTGGCGGAGCAGCGAGAAAAGCGGCTAGAGCGGCCAAAAGAACTGGGCTGACTGCGCTGGCAGTGTGCGTGCGCACAGCGCCACCCTGGGGCCGAGGAGGCGTCGGGCCTCCCGGAGGGTGTGCGCAGGCGCGCTCTTCCACTTTTTTTCTCTCGTGTCAGGGAGGATGCGGGGTGCTTGACTCCTTTATAGTTCTCACGCTGTTGCCCCTCATCTCTCCCGTTTTTGGTTCTGGGGATTGAGGTTAGGGCCTTTCCACTGAGCTACATCCCCAGGCTTTTAAATTTATTTTAATTTTTGAGACAGTATCTTGCTTAGTCTCCTAAATTGCCCAGGCTATGCTTGAATTTGCGATCCTCCTGCCTCAGCCTCTCAGAATGCTGGATTACAAGCGTGCGCCACCGCGCCCGGAGGCCTCGCCCGTCTTTAGGTGTGCTCTTTCTCTAGGATGTCTTTCAGGTGCAATTCCTAAAGCCCAGGATTAGTGCTCTTTATGAACGCAATGGGAGCAGAGAGCAAATTATTCACTTACTCAACAGATGTTCATTGGATGTCTGCACCTGTGCGTGGAGTGATGGTGCAGTGGGCAAAAGAGGCCTGCAAAACCTAACGTTGGAGAGTATTGGCTAGCAACACGAAGATCAGGCCGGGTAGGCTGGTGCAGAGGAGCCAAGGAAAGAGCAGGTGGGTCCTAAAAGCACATGGGTCACAGAAGGCCATATGGCTGGGGCAGAGGAGCCAAGGAAAGAGCAGGTGGGTCCTAAAAGCACATGGGTCACAGAAGGCCATATGGCTGGGGCAGAGACAGAGGAGGAAAGAGTGAAGGGCTGTGGGCCCCAGGCAGGAGTTTGGCTGTCCATCTGGAGGGCAAAGGGAAGTTGTTGGCCTCTAAGCAAGCCATGGACAAGGCCCTCTTGGTAGATTCCTTTGACTACTGGTGTGGACAAAACAGATTTTGGGCCCGGGATTTAGCTCACTGGTGCTGCCACCACCCTCTGCCTCGAAAGCGTAAGGTCCTGAGTTTGATCCCCGGTTCCAAAACAAACAAAAAAACCAAACAAACAGATTTTTAGGGTGATTGAATGGGGACAGGAACATCATTTAAAGGACTGTTCTAGGTGAGAGATGACAGTGGCTGAGTTGGCTGGTGGTAGTGGCTGGATTTTATTTAGGAGATGAAATCGACATGGCTTGATCATGCTCTGGTTGTGGTGTGGATGGTTGCGAAGGTTAGATTGTGTCTCCCAGAAGTTTGTTGTTGGGAACACATGCTGATGCTAATTGGAGGCGAGGCCTTTGGGAGGCCATTTGGGTTAGATGAAGTCATGGGGCGGGGCATGCTGGCATTAGTGACTTTCTGAGAAGAGGGAGAGACCTGAAGTCCTGCACTTGCTTTGTCTTGCCATGTGGTATCCTCTGCCCTGTCATGATGGAGCAGGAAGGTGCTCACTCACCAGACACCAGTGCCAGGCTCTTCCCAACCTCAGATACATGAGCCAAGTAGACCTCTATTCCTTACAATGTCCCAGTCTCTGTTACTTGTTATTGCCACAGAAAATGGACTAAGGTAGTGGTGATGGGACTAGATGTATCAAAGATTCTCCCAGGGGCTGGGGATTTAGCTCAGTGGTTTCACCTCCTGCTGCGCAAGCGCAAGAGTTTGATTCCTGGTACCAAACAAAAAGAAAAAAAAAAAGATTCTCCCAGATTTCTGGCAAAGACAGGTAAGTTTGGAGGAAAGGAGGAAGGTATGACCATGAGTTCAGTTTAAACTAGTTGAGTTTGAAGTGTTTTTGAGACAAGAAGTCGTGAGTAGTTACAGGGGACCAGGGCTCAAAACAGAAGCTGAGCCAGACATGGTGGCACATGCTTGTAATCCCAGCACTTGGGAGGCTAAGGCAGGAGGATTGCTGCAAGTTTGAGGCCAGCCTGGACTACATAGTGAGTGCAAGGCCCTGAACTATGAGACCTTGTCTCAGAAAACAAAACAAAACAGAAGCTGAATGTGCATCAGACATCAGAAAATGAGCAGCTGAGAGGCAGAGGGCAGAAATGAGGCTCATACAGCCCAAGGTGAGAGGTAGTAAGATGCTTTGGAAAGATCTACTTAGCAGATAGCAGAGGGAAACCCACTAGATTTAGAGATCTAGAGGGCCCTCAGCCCACGACATTCAGTAGAATAGGAGGACAGAGTCCTCATGCAGGCAGCTGAGGAATGGCTAGAGGTGGAGACATGGAGAACTTGTTAAAAGACAGCCCTTCACAGTTGGTGTTCTTTGAAGAGACAGAGACAGGAATTTGGAATGGAGGAAGGATTTTTTCCTTTTAGGTTGGAAGGAACTTGAGCCTGAACAACTACTGAAAGGAAGGCTAATAGAGAAGAGCTTGTGATTCAGAAGGAGTGTGGGAGGAAAGTCTAGAGCTCATCATGTTGCTCTTACCAACATAGCTTCACATGGCCCAAAATGACTGCTTGGGCTGCAGCCATTTTGCCAAAGTCCAGTCAGCAGGAAAGAGGAAGGTAGGAAGATGGCACCTCTCTTTTTTCTTCATCCCTTTTTAATTAAACAAACATTTATTTGCAGGCACTTTCCCTTTCCTTTTAAGGAGACCTTCGTATGTTCCACACGATGCTTCTACTGACATTTCATTGGCTATAACTGAGCCCCATGATCACGTCTAGCTGTAAGGGAGGCTGGAAATGCAGGCTTTAGACTGAGCTACATAACACTCAAGTGTAAGCAGGCTTTGCTATTAATGAAGGATTGGCAACTGTGGATCAGGAAGCTGTGAGCAGTCTTTGCCCTGAAGGAGGCAGAAGGGCCCAGATAATTTGTCAGGTGAAAGTCTGGAATCAGGACAGGGAACCCACCCTACCTGCTAGGATTAAATGAGGTGCTGTGGAAATCTTGACTTGGGGTAGGAGCTGATGTTTGTTACATTCAGATCATAACTTGATTTTTTTGTCCAGTGCTGAAGATTGAACCCAGGACCTTGTGCTAGGCAAGGGCTCTACTGCTGAGGCACACCTCTAGATCAACAATTTAGTTTCACCGCATGCTGCGCAAGCTCAAGGACCCGAGTTCGATCCCTGGTACCAAAAAAAAAACAAAAACAATTTAGTGTTTTTTGTTTTTTGGGTTTTTTTGTTTTTTGGTACTGGGGATCAAACTCAGGACCTTGCACTTGTGAGGCAGCATTGGTGCCACTGAGCTAAATCCTCAGCCTGATGATTTAGTTTTTTAGAAAGATAATAAATACATACAGAACACCTACTGTATTCAGGGCACTGTTGGATGCTTCTTCATCCATGGACTTATTTCTTTCACTCTCCAACCTTGTGAGATGTGTATTATCCTTTTGTAAAGTAGGAGACCTTAATTCAGTAAGTCACTCCACAAATAGATGTCAGGATGGGAACCCAGGTCTGACTGCAGCCTTTCCCATCAACCTTATGAGGTGAGCAGACCCTTCGAGGCTCTTCCCAGCAGAGGCTCCTGTGATTACTTGCAGTTTCCCAAACAGCCTTTTCCTTTCCTGCCTCTACCTTTGGACACATTGTTCCCCCAACCTGGAATGCTTTTCCTGTGTTCCTAGTGCCTCCTCTGTGAACTTCGGGCTCACTGTTCCTGTCTCTTATCTAATGAAATCCCTTCTCAGAAATGTTTCTTGATTCATATCCCGAAAATGACACCTTTGGTTGCTTTTGATTACTTAAAACCATAGTTATTGTTTGTAATGAACTTCCTAGAGGCTGATCTCTGGCAGTTCTGCCCTGGGTTTCCTTGTGGGCTTCAGGAAGCCGCTCAGCAAATACTTGCAATATCAAACTAGTTAAAGAGCCAGACAGAGATTAATGGACACATTGGTTAATGAGGAAACAGGCACAGCAGTCCTAAGGTCCCCAAGTGATTTAGTGAGGAGCTGGGACTATAGCTTGGGCTTCCAAACTCCCCTCATCCCTCTTTCCACACTGAACCCCCTAAACAATTCACAGTGGCAGGCTCTTCCTCTGAATGTCCTGGGGTCTGGTTTTCCACGGATCAAGAAGAGGATACTGGGCCCCACCTAGCAATGGGAGAACGAGCATTAAGTCAGCACCTCCTGTATGTAGGGCTCTGAGCTCTAGAGCTCCAAAGTGGAGACAAGGAAGTCTGGTGAGGATGGGCCCCTTCCCCTCCGGGGACACTGTGCCTGGAAACCTAGCTGGAAGGTGGGTCCTGTTTTCCCTGGGACATGAGTATGTGTCACAGTGGGGCCTTCAGTCTGTTCAAAACGTGTCTGCCAGAGGAACAAAGACAACCACCATCACCAGCCTTGATAACCAGTTAACAGCCATCCTGAGCTCTGGGGCCTGTCATGGGCACCCAGATAAGGGTGTTGCCTGGCATGGACAAAGGTCCCTGATGCATCCTGGAACCCACACATGGCTGAGAACATCAAAGAAGCACACCGTGGCCTTTCCAAACCCCAGACACTGCAGCTGTGTGGTGTGTCCTCAGGGCCCCTCCTGGGGGCTAAGAAGGCCCTTGCCGGGTGGGGAACATTGGACACTCCCTCTTGCCATAGATCTGGAGTGTGACTCTCTACCCTCCACATCTCTGTAAGGCACCAGATTCCATTCAACCCCTTGGTCTGATAAACAGCAGCAGCAGTGAGCCTGGCTTGCAAATACTGGCTTGCAGGGTGCCCTGAGGATACAGAAGAGTGTCGGGAAGGGAAAATAGGAGATTTGCTTCCAGCTGCAATTTCTGGTCACCAGTGTCTGAGAGGACCTGTCCCCCTACCTCCTTCCTGCACCAGGTCCTCAAATTCTCCCTCCCTGCTCTTTAACATC